CCAGGCCTGCTCTTTTTACAAGGCAGCAGGCCTGGCTGAAATACTCAGCATCAACAGATTGTGTCTGCCAGGCCACAGTGGCCACCAGACAGTAATTCATGTGGGTGTAAACGTCCATTAACTGAAACGATGAATTTCTGAAGATTTTGGAAAACCGAAAATCTTGAAATTCGCCCGTACGTGTTTACTGCATATTTCAAACCACCCGGCAGCATGTGGTTAACACACGGAAACTGGATCAGAAATGAATCCTAGAAACCTGGACAACCCACCTCCATCTCCTCTTCCTCGTCATCTTCCAGCTCTCCTGCCTCTTCCTCTTCCATGTCTCCATCCTCTTCGTCTTGGTCCTCCTCTTCAACATCCTGTGGTGATGTCTTTGCTTTCTTGGTCTTGGTTGTTTTCTTGGCGTCGCCGCCGCCGCTCGCCTCGCGTTTCCTCTTCTTGGCTTTCTTCTTCACAACGTTTGACCTCTTCTCTGCGGGAAATTTTCCAACCCATCTCAGTTATGTGAAAGGTTCAGGAGTGGCACAGTCTGCTACTGAGAGACAACAAAGCATGACTGTCTTTGTGCACAATTACGATAAGCGGCCTGGTGAGTCAAAGTTCAAATCCCATGGAGAGCAAAGTCCTTTTGCTTTTGAGATACTTTTGCTACTCCTCATCCATTTATTTACCAGAATCTGGTCATGAAATTATTCACGGTTAATGCGTGGTTGTCGGTGTTCAGTGTTCCTCAGGACGTAGCTTTACATGGATCCACGACATCTATGGCCAGGCTCAAGATGAAGATCATCGATGCCCAGTTGTGGGCGTGACTTACTTTTCTGAGGATGTGGCCTTCCCGAGGGTTCTGGCTTCAAACAGAAGGCGAGTATTCTCTCAAGAATCTTCTCTTTATTTCCCGACTTGTCAAGGTCCAACCACATGCAGATTTCCCTCAGTCCTTCCATTGTGTATCTATCACCAGCAAATTGAATAGGAACAAGACATGCTAGGATTTGAATTGGAGAACAAGGCACAAGTCTATGAAGCTAGAAAGTGATTACATCAGAGACATGGCAATCAACGTCTCCGTCTCATTGGATAACATCCTAAACCTCAGCCAATGCTTAAAATAGATCTTTTCCAGTATTAGTTCCCGTCAGACTTTTCACTTTCATTGACTTGTACGCAAAATGGTTTCAGCAATGTTTCCACTTCAGATTACCTCAGTGAAGCTTGAAGCTTTACGATTTACATTTGAAGTAGAAATGCCTTTGAAAGTTACCTGACTAAAGTGGATTCCTTCTTGGTAAACTCCGGCGACTCTTTCTCAAAGTTGAATCCTGAGAATTTGCGGATGTTTCTCTTGATTTCGTGCGCCTGCGACAAAGAAGAGAGAAATGTGGGATCGGTGGGGAAATCGTTGGGGGAGAAAAATTGAAAGCCCACTGATTGGACGATCTTAACTTGGTAAGATTCTCATCCTTACTCACCTTGCCTGGTCTGCCGAACAAGAACCTGTAGAAAGCCCGGAAGTTTTCAGAGTTGGTCCTGGATATGTAGAACTCAACTGTAGACCAATAAAAATGAGATGACAGTTCATCCAAAGAGATAAGGGTCAGTCGCATGGATTTGCTCTTTCCCTCACGCAACATCTCAAAGGATGTAAAGACTCACTCTCACAAACAGAGGTCAACTGATACTGCAGTCTCCATGTTTCCATAGGAGAAAATGTGGAGGAAGGCACACATGGTTAATGATATACCAAGCTCTTGACTCAAAACCAAGATGCAGCTGTAGTCTTGAATATGAATCCTAATTATCACTGAGACTTCAAAATCTAGGAGGTAGGTTTTTAATTTTGAAGAGCTTCTCAAAATTGATGACACTGAAGTAACCACTACTGCATTGGTTTGAGCCAGTCACCCAATCCTGGCAAACTTGGTGGTTGAATGGTTACGTTTGCACCAGTAAGCAGGAAGTCATGGGTTCGAATTCCACTATGCATCTACTGTCCACTCTTCATCCTTCATTTAGTAGGGCTGTGCTGAATATTCAATCAATTATAGAATACTCAAATATTATTTTCCATATTTGAATATTCAACTGCAAAATTCATGAAAAGGAAGGGAGAATTTTCTCCCTTTAAATGAGAAAAACTGCACCATGGAGTCTTGTTTCAAGAAGACTCAAATAAAAAGTGACAGAAATCTCACAACGACTCAAAAAGTTCATTATTCATCCCGAACAATCCCAAATCCTCCAATTTTAATATGATTTTACAAACACCCTGAGGGATTAGGGTTTAACAATGTAAAAGGAATAGAAATTTTCAACAGGGCAAGAAGCATTCTTCATCTCTTAAATTTGTCTATATTGTGGCTGGAGAAACACCTAGACGTGAGAAGCTATTATAGTGATTACAATGTGCAATTGCGTGCATTATTGCAACTGATTTTGTAAATGGTTTGTTCATCAACAGTCTTCCAGTCGGTAAGACTGAATATTCCATTATTTGATCAAATTGAAGGTTGAATATTGGAAAAGTGAATTATTCTAATCAATTGACTCAGCGCCATCATTTCGACCATAAAGCGCCTTGATACAGAAGTGGCGAATCCTTGCAACTCACTGTTTGGAATTTCGCCCAGCCTCGTCCCCTGTCCGTCTTCCACTTCAAACTTGATCTCAGCGGCCTCCTTCTTAGTGTCAAAGGTCAGCCTCTGTGTCTTCTTCCTCTCCCTCTTTCCAGTCATCAGTTTTACGGGGCCGTCCAACAAACCCACTAAACAGAGAGACAAGATTTTTCTTTCACATTTTGCATTCGGTCTCATCACCAAAAATGCAAGGACTTGCACATGAACCAACTTCAGAACAATTTTGTTCCATGTGCCCAAAAATGCAATATGTGACTACGTATTTATGTGAGTTGAAGCACAATTGGAGAGACTTACGTTAGTTGTAAAACAAAAGGCATATGTGACTTTCTGTCAACAAATTTGATTTTCCAGTATCTTCACTTCAATATTCATCATACAAATAGACTGAGAATGACCAGTTGTTCTTGTTTATTTCTTGTTGGACACATGAAAGAAGCTAACCTTACAATATTACACCAATTTAACTTTAGAGCTCTAACATTGATCATGAAGATTTTGAGCCAGTTCAGGTCCTGACATTATCACAACAGGAATTACAGAAGAATCCTGTATGCTGATCATCGGGTACAATTTGTCTGATTTAATTTGGCCCCAGTTGTAACTAACACAACTCCACTAGACCTACCCAGCTCTTCGTCACTGGATTCCTCATCGTCATCATCCTCATCTTTCGTTTCCTCCTCCTTGCCGTTCTGATCTGTTCTCCTCTTCTGTGGCGTCTTCTTGGGACTGCCGCTCCTGCCCGGGGATTTTGTCGGCGAATCTACCGAGGAGCCTGTCGACTCCATTGACTGGTCAGCATCCACCTGGTCTTCTGGCTTACTTTCCTCAGCTGACTCGCCCCTTGCCATCTCCTTAATTTGGACAGTAATTGTCAACTGACATAATATTCAAACCTACATTGCAAGCTACCCCTAGAACTACTGAGCTCCTTGTTCCACCTGTCTGAGCCCACAGTAAGCAGACGCCAAACGAAGAAAAGTAGTTTTAGGGCTACAATGCAAACATGGAACTTGGAAGTTGGGGAAATAAACAAGGAACTTCAAAGCTGCAAAAGATACTGTGGACATTCATTTAACATCTGGACATGACTTGGGTGATTATGTCCAAATGTTGATTTAAAAAAAGGTGAAATTTGTTGAGTCCCTTACGCAGAGCTGTGTAAAAATCATGCTACGCATGTTCATACTCTCGGCATGACGCCACACAGCCTGGCCTGTTTCTTTGTGCTGTGTACCCCTAAACTATGGGGTTTGTTGTCCGTTTCAATTCACTAGAATTTTGCTAACTTGTGAACCTGTGGGGTTCAATGCTTGCTTTGCTGCTAAAGAAGCTTACAAACCCCTTAGCTTTAGGGCTATGCCCTGCACTGTTGCATACTATGCCATGCAGAACATGTACAGAAGTTCCCCTATGTCTGACGGAAAGAGTCCCATATGCGGGCGCCACTTGACACCCTGTAGACAATCCCTGTGAGACTGGTCTGAAAAATTCTAAGTGTTTTCTAAGTAAACGACTTGGATTTTTCCCTCCTAAATTGAACTTTTCTTGACATGTTTTTGCTTTCAGACGGGTAATACCATTACTGGCATCCATACATGGAACCCTTCCCCGTCTAACCACAAGCATGGAATAATTTCATTTATAGGCCCTATGTAGGCTATGATCGATAATCTTCATGTATAAAACAAGTGCAACCAACCCCCCCCCCAACTGTGGGAGTAGGCCTAGGCCTAACTAGTGTAGGCTCAAAATTGAAAAAAATTATTTCATTTAATTTACAAAATGTTTCCTCATGTCCATGGCATAGGCCTGACATGCGCATGCGTGAGCATGCTGAGTCTTGGTTTCATCATGTTTATCAAGACAAATGGAACGTTCCATCTGTAACCTCATGAAATTAGTTTTCACAGAGCAGGTGGTCGTAGGGACAGAAGGCCGGAAAAATGTTGCATCCTGACTCCCCTTCAGCAGTTGTGTACAAAGTCTGTCGTATTTCCCAAGTAAGTATATTTCCCAACAACATCAGTAAATCAGTCCAGAATTCATGAATGAATGTCATGCATTTCTGTAATGACTGACTTTTATTGAGATGATATGATGAGAAAAGTGGAGTCAGAATGCAACATTTTTTCCCAGAAGGCCTAACGTTACTACAACTAGCAGAACTACAAGTAAGCCTAGGCCTTCAAAAGCGAGAGAAATTGGGGCGACTTCAACACTATTAATAACGGGGCGAGTTGGATTGTTCAATTGACCGTCGCTGGCCAAAACCGAAAACATGTAGGCCTACCAAGATTCCGTTAAGCACGGTTTCAAATTCAATCAAAGAAACGTGCCATACAACAAAAATGTTATCAAATTTGATCTTTCGTTTCAAATGTTACGCAAAAATACCCCAACGTCCTGATCTACAACGTCGTTTTCAGCGTCCGACATCTTCCATACGCGATCCACGTTGTGTTTTTCCAAAATGGCGGTACATACGGCGCGAGATTTCAAACCAATCAGAGAAAGGGTTAAATCGCGACTTGGTATGATCTTAATGAACCTTTTCTCCTGATTGGATATTGGTCATAATGCTACTTTAAAAAGTAGAGACAAAAGTAAAATTTCAGCCTGATGAGCAATCTTTTTTTCTCTCTCTGTAAGCTAACTTCTTTTATTCGGGGGAGAAGTTGACGGACGGATGAGGGTCAGACCTTAGTCTCGTCGCAATAACATAATTTAACCTCATTGTAAAGCTTTTATTTTTAAACAAAAGCACACAGCTAAGCGTCACCCATCCTAAGGAAACTTACATCAATACGGGCGATTCACAAGAGTTTCTAACGCGTTGGCCTATCACAACGCGCGAAATTTGTCGACCTTTCCAAACACGCATTGGGCCGACAAATTTCGCGCATTGTGATTGGCCAACGCGTTCCAAACTCTTGGAGGCGCACTACTGTGAAACTCCCGTATTCAAGTTACGGGGTTGTTTTCTCCTGCTTCATCCCTTACCTACGCTAGGCCCTACGCTTTTATGGTATAGTCGCAATAGTGAAGTATTTGCCCTTCAAAATTATTTGCGCGAGCGCTGAAAAAAGTGAAATTCACCGCACATGCGCGGTATACTTGAATTAATTCCGCTTTGGCATTCCATAGTATACACGCACATATACAACACTTATGAAAAGGTCAAGATAGCACAGGTACAGCTACAGCACTTTGGGAGAGAGCCTAGGATTTGGAGCCTAAACCTCGGCGGAGAAAGCTGCACCTTTGAGGAAATTGACCCAAGTTGCTGACGCGGACTTGAGTCGAACGTTTTGAATTCAGACTTGACAAAAATTACTAGGGAGTGGGACTTGACTTGGAAGAACACGACGCGTGACGCAACTTGACTAAATTTGACTTAGCGACAAACGTTTCTGGAAAATAATGAACACAGACTTTTGGATGTTCGCAAATACTCAGCTGAAAAGAACGCATGTTCAACCAACGCAAAACCCTTCAGCTTACAACCACGAGAGCAAGCTGCCTGGTTATTCATGCGTTCCGGAGCCGCCCACCTAGGTAGGCTGCACAAAGTATCTCCAGGCGTGTATATCCTTCGTTTATACTTTATACAAGTACTTCAATTTGACTTGACCTGGGAAATTTAACTCGAGACTTGACTTTGGAAAAATGACTTCGTCTCAACACTGCAAAAATACGTCCTAGTTACTAGAGTGGGAATCATGTTCATACAGCTATACATTTTATCCAATTTTGAGCAAACTTCTCCTTCCTCCATGGTCCAACAGACTGAAAAAGACGCAAAGACATAAACATGTGATAACAGTGGATGCTATCTCTTTAATATCCGTAGTGACAAATGCTTCGTAAGTTGAAATTTACCTACTTACCGAACGTTCTGGGGTTGACAATATACGAGTACATGTATTCAATTTTAATACTCTTAAAAATTGTACAAATAATTCATTGAAAGTAACAAAATAGTAACACGCAATGATTACATAAACACTACTGTCAACGTATCATATAAAAACATACAAATCAGAATGTATGCACTAAGCTTCTTCAATCAAATGGTTTTTCCATTCTTTTATTTTTGTGACCTTGCTTTTTTTTATAAACTTCACGTACATTGCACTTCCTAAGTTCCCACCATCTTTCCATGAAAAAGGAACTTAATTTCGCCATCAAACCCTGCAGCATCGTAAAGGCATACTTTAATACTTGATCATCAAATGACCCAATTACTTGTAATCTTTTTTCTTAATTCTCGGGTTTCACTCACAATCAAACTACTGATATCAAAAAATGGTTATCTTTGGCATGGGTCAGAAACCTAACGTAAACGAGCAAACTTTCATTTCTTTTTCAAAGACTTACGTAGCAATGCTGCCGTACTGATCGACCAAATACATGAACGTTTTCCAGTAGTTTTCACAAATATTTTGTCTACTGATTTATTCCAAATCAAAATCACTTGTTTGAATTACGCGCACTTCGTTCCTCCTTCATGTGAGAGTAGCAAGCATACTTTGTGTTCATATGCCCTTCAAGAAGTTTAGCAATTTGTAGATTAAGTCATTAAAGACGTTCTTGATAAAGACCACACCCAAATGGTTAGTTTCACCATGAGTTCTGGTTTTGCCAAGTTGTAGCATAGCTGTACAGGAGCAGACCAGATGTATTTTGCTTCGCAATTTACAATGCATCACTTAAACAACTTACAACTTCCAAATTCTTCCTGAGACAATCTTTCTGTACATGAACTTACCAAAAAATAAATTCATATCAAATTAAAGGCCACTAGAATTGACAATGTTCTTACCTTTATCATTCGGAAACCTTTTATCTTGACAAAGATCCTTTACCTTTGAACATTTTAGCAACCCTCTAAACTGCCAAATTTTCAATGAAATATCCACCTTAATGCACTTACACATAAACATGACCTGTTCTTACAACATGAGTCATGATCTTTCATGGCTGTTCTTTTCCTGAAAAGCCCACTTTCTCATCTTTTTAATACTACATGTATCTGTAACATTATGCACCGATGACAGATCTACAATGTGACCAGTGAGGAATCAGCAGCTAATTAAAAATTCCATTAGTGTCAGAAAATTTTCGAGGCAAATACAGTGATGTGAAATGAACATTTCAAAACAGCTTGGATTAACATAGCTCAGACTTATCTTGTCAGATCAGGTCACATTACAGCTACGAGTTGAAAGTGAAGTAAATTTACAATGAAAATACTTGAGGGTACACAATTTTATAAATTTTACCATTTTAAAAAAAGCAAACAATGTTTCAAAGATGTATCTGTCAAAGTGGCTATTGTGCACATCTGCATCAAGTACATGTCAATGGCTCTGCTGATAAAAGCAATGTAATGTCTTTCATCTCAAAGACCCTTTATAACATGAAAATATGAAAAGTCTACAAAAAACACAATCTATCCGTTTCATCTATAATAGATAAGTTCAGTTAAACTCCCAAAGTTTTCAAGGAACACAAAACGTTCTCTGAGTAGTCGTTTACCACATGCATATTTGCAACTGTAATCGAAATCCTCTGGAGTAAACTTCTTCCACAACAGGAACTACCGGGTGATGCCTTCCTCAGGGGGGAAATGTCCACTTCTGATTTCATCAGATCAAAGACAAATGAATGTATCCGTTTGGGGTAGTTTTTAATGTGCAATTTCTGACTACTTATCTCTGTACAAAATATGAGATTACCCACAGCTGGCCAGGACCAAAGTCTTTTTGCCATTATTTTGGGGTATCATCCCTGCTACTACATGTCTTCTGTGAGACACACCCTTCAAAATCGAAGAAACACGATCTATTCATCAGGCAGGTGTTTCAGGCAGGTGTATCCAACAGGATCCACAAAAACCATGCTTGTTTCAATAAATAACAAAGATACACTACACTTTCCAGCTCTGAAACTCTGGCAGTCCGTTACTGCACGGGACTAAGGATAACGCCCTGTACCAGGCTGGCCTGCTTCTCACTGGACGCCATGTCGGTCAGTTTGGTCACTTCCAGCTGCCAGTTGGGAATCTTCTTAGCCGACATGTGACGCCTGGCATGCTTGGTCAGATGGTCACTGCGCATGAAGCGGCGATCGCACATGGGGCAGGTGAATTTCTTCTCCCCTGTGTGGGTGCGCTTGTGACGGGACAGCTCGTCTGAGCGTGCAAAGCGCTTGTCGCAGTTTTCCCACATGCAGATAAAGGGTTTCTCACCTGGGCCATGAATAAACGACATTCATCAGATACAAAGCAAAGCTTCATACTGTTTAATTCAAATACAAAGAAAAACTGGTTCTTACCTGTATGTGTCCTGAGGTGTGCCTTCAGGTGCGAACTCTTAAAGTACGTCTTTCCACAGTTCTCATGCGGGCAAACATGGTTCCGCCTTCTCAGAAATTCCATGACTGAGGGCTGCACACTGGCTTTGTTTGCATTGGAGGAGTTTGCATTTGACACAGGTGCTGGGGCAAGAGCGCAATACTTGGTCCCCGTGGTAACAGTTTGGTCACTCTTTGGTGCAGTCTGCATTAAGTCTGCAGGCACAGCCATCACAATAAGTTTATATTGGGTAGAGCTTGGCACAGGCTTGGGACTGTCCGCTTTTGTCTGACTTGAGGGCACGGGGACAGCCGACACCTTGCTGGCAGAGAAGTTATTGTCCAATACCATGGGTGTCTGTGTTGCAACTGTAGGAGCTGAAGGGGGGATTGCACTTGATCCTGAGGCACCAGCAGGCACAAAACGGCACACACTTCCTGCGTTCATCAGAGGGATTTTGAACACATTACCAGGCACTGCACTGACAGTACGTGTGGGAAGAGTTCTGGATGACCGAGACAGCTTCTGGGCTGCAGTCACACTTTGAGTACAAGGTGGCAGTGTCAGTGTCACCAGGCTGCTTGCCGCGCTCGCCTGGGTGGCGGAGGGTTGAGCTGGGGCCACCACGTCCTTGGCCCACATGCTGGGCCGTTCCTGGCAGGACATGACACTGGGCGTGGCATTGACCACGCTGCAGCTGTCGATTCGGTGCGTCGTCAGCAAGGGGCTGCTAGGAATCGGGGCAGGGGCTGTATGGCTGCTGGGAAACACAGGTGTGACTCTGGTTGCTGATCCTGTCATGACAGGAATGTGATATTTGCTAACAGTCTGGACAGGTGGGGGAGTCAGAGGAGGTGTCTCGATATGGCCCTGCAAAAGACAAACAAATTCAAAAGATTAAAAAGCTTTTTATGAAAGGTTTTGAGCCTCCTGCTGAATTCCCTATGATCTGACAAGGCCTTTGTCAAGTAAAAGATATCAGAAAAACATGGTCATAAATTCGGTTCAGTAAAGAATAATGTTTAGTTAGTTTTATACAAAAATTATGGACTTACAATTGTTCTTCTGCTGGGAGATGTACAGTCCATGTCAACAACTTCCCCCGGCTCATCGAGGGAAGACGCTGGTGACAGGGGAGCATCAGAGGGCAGACTCCTTGGGGAAGGGAGTAGGAGCGAGGTGGTGTCGGGCTTAGCAGGCGGAGGGCAGTTCCTCATCAGGAGCAACGTCTGCACCGCGTCATAGTCAGACCGCTCCATGGCAGAGCTTGAGGTTGGTTGCCTCTTATGAAAGTAAGCTTCCTGCAACAGATTTTTGAGAGACAAAATAAAAAATGTATGTGACATTAATCACTGAACAGCGGCTGCACCTTTACAAGGGAACAAAAGCCTTCTTTGAATTTCAATTGATTAAAGCCCAATAAATAAATCACTTCACATACTACCAGTACCTTTACATAACACGCAGCATTTTCTGCCAGAAAATCCCTGAAAATGTGCCACCCCATCCCCCCCCAAAAAAAAATCCACAGTGACCAGCATAGTCTTGAGATACAGAAAATCTTTCCCCATCATAAAAAAACTCCAGAAATAAAGGAAAACAATTTATCTACAAAATGGAAAAAAACACTAGGCAATTTTCCTTTTAACCCCATGAGCTTAATAAGCCTGCTTTATTGTTACATCATATAAATCTAAACAAACCTTAAGGATGGCAATTTACTTCCCCCTGCAATAATAATGCACCCTGATCACTCCCTGAGGGAGTGATCGATCCATAATGAAGGTATGCTGCCATTGGGCCACATAAAATCTGAATATTCATAAGTAGTACCATTGACAGGCACACTGTTGACTGCCCATTGGATGACTGATGATGACATCACTGTATTCATTCGCAAAATTAATCATTGCTTGATGAATATTTAACAGCCTATAATAACAGGAGGAAGTTCCTAGATAAGCAAATTGCACTGGTGTGGACAACACTAGACCTTTGCCCCAACCACTGTGTGTGAATCTTCCAGCAGAACCTTGTGATGTCATTTGAAGCTGGAAGAACAGACAGCAGGAAAATTTACCCATTTCCAAACATAATTTATTCTAAAGGTTCTAGTGTGCAAAGGGGGACTCATTTGCCAAGTGCCGTGAACCTAAGTTGTAAAAAATAAAGGCACTATGACCACCAAAAAAAATATCTACCATATTTCTAACACAACTAAATAGGAAAAAATTGTGAGAATAAAAGAGGATAGCAACCCTAACAATCCCAAATCTTCCGATTTTACTATGATTTTACAGGAAATATAAATCATTCACCTTGAGATGAATGATTTTTATTAAAGGGACACAATTTTGATTTTTAACAGCTGCTCTGGGATGAACATTGACAATAATGAGGTGGCGACATTATTGCTGAACTGGAACCCCCAGCCCGAAAGGTCACATTTGCATATTTCCTGTTGAACACTGGCCTCATCATAGGCGAGGTTCACGCTCACTAGGTCACATACACCACACTTGATCTTTTCACTTCCTGTCGAGAGGCAAGGCATGAATCACAAATTTATGCTGCACCAGATACCAGGTGGACACTTTTAACATGGAGGAAATGGTGACCCAGGTTCTGCAATGTATCTTTTCTCCACCTTTTTTAAAGTAACAAACCAAGCAGTTTTACAAGCCTTTGTCAACAGGAACATTTAAGCTAAAGTGTGGTTTTATTATATTTTGTTCACTATAAAATGAACATTTTAGGCATTTCGTATATAGCATGCAGACCGCAGATCAAACTCCTCAAATGTATACAAATACATCATGATTGATTTCACAGCAAGTGTTGACATGTAAGCTAGTAACGGGGTGGTTGTAGCATCTATCAGAAGTTCAAATCAGATTTAAAAGTGTCATCACAGTTTTTTTTAAAGCATGTGACTGAGTGCACGCCCCTTCAATACAAACACTTCACCTTACGGTGACAGGCACATCAACCGTTTTACTGCTGCCAAGCGCCATGCAAGGAACACACCTCGTAACTTACAATTCCAAAAGATTAGGCTATCTTGCTGGTAAACAAAGTGAAAAACTTGAATTGAACATCTGACGCAGGTGACAAAGTGCAAACTCTTATTCAACACGACCTCGAATTTGGAGAGATATTTCTTACAAATGCTAGGCAATAGCAACAGAGGTTGACAACAAGGTTTTATTTTCAACGACGTTAGAATAAAGAAATCCTAACTTAAAGACAAGTATTTAAAACAATTAAGGCCTGAACATGTCCTTTCACCTCTTTTCAACCTTGAAATTGAATCATGCTCAATATATTTCAACCTTTATTAGGCTGCTCTGACTTTTGGGGGGGGGGTTCTCCTTCACAGGAGTCCCTGGACAAGTATCCATAAAAGGGCGTAGGGCCTAGTTAATCTTAAACCTAAAGGCAAAATAGGCCTACCCCCAGAGCTGTGAGAGCACTGCAGTGTTCAATCAAACGCAATAGTTCTGGGGGAAAAGTCGAAGCGTTGCAGAGTGCAATCCACTGCTGCACAGCGTTAATTCCTCATCTTTGGGAACAAATGTGTTTTTCAGTGCACACTGCTAGTGACTGTATGATATGGCTTGCGCTGCCTGGAACCTCGAGGTGAAGTAGAGCTCTTTGCCTCAAACAGGGATAAGTTTGTAGAAGCATCGTACAGGCTCGGGCTGGTATAATAAATGCAAGGCTAGGTTTGCAGCAAAAATAACATACGTGAGCAGAAGGATACAGGAAACTTTAAAAAATATATATATAAATAAATAAACAAGCAAGCAAACACACAAAAACCCAGAGTTGTAAAAAAGCTAGAGAGGGTGTTCGAACCGTAGGCCTAAGCCCAAAGTCCCAGCCTTTTCAGCTTCGTTGATTAATTTCCTCAATTTCACAAAGTCTTTCACAAACATTAATGAAGGAATAGGCCTACAAAACTATCATAAGCCTAGCCTAATATAATGCAGCGAGAGAAAATATTGCCAATCGATTCTAATTTACAAAATGTTACTATTTAGGCCGTAACTGAAGCCATTTCACATGTTTAAGCATCATTCTTGCTGCAATTTATTGTTTACACACGGAGCAGTTGAAAAAAAAGGCTATACATCACATAATTAGAATACAATGAGTAGCATATGCTTCTTAAGTGCTTCTTGTTAAGAGATATAACCAACAAAATCTTACCATTGGGAATTTGGCGGGAGGGGTTGAAGGTGGCGAAGGAGGGAGGGTAGACATTCCTGTTCGCTGGCGAAGCTTAGACAACAATTCACCGTTTCTGGCAATTTTTACATTCGAAATCTTGAGCTGGATTGCCGAACATCGCCGTAATTTATTTCGGGCTCTGATCACGAAGGGTGTGTGTGCCGCGGAGTCATTATGAAAACAACAACAGGCAGCCATGTGGAGTTCGGGCAGAGGCGGGTCATGGGATGGACCAATGGGAACGCAGCAAATTGGGGGCTTGACCAATCAGGCGGCCGCTGTCATGCACACGCTGCATGTCTGAAGAATGAAGGGAAGCACGCGCCGAGTGCATGTGTTGAGAACATGCCTCGACTTTGACAGATCACAAGAGCGCAGCCTCGCCATCACTTACTGGAGCCAGGTTGCGGTCTGGAGAGCGCATGACATCATACACTTCTAATAATGATCCAAAAAATTTCTGATGAAATGTTTAGACTGCGGAGTCAAAAGTATGCCTGTTGTAAACTGAGGTTCAAGAACGGTTAGTTGGTCACACTATGGTGGATTCGAAAGGTGAAAATTTTTAAGGGGTTTGGTTATTCAAGGTAGTGTTAAAAATAGGCTCTTTTATTTAAATAGTTCCACTCGAAATTCTCTCTTTTCTACCATAGAATTCATACATTCAGATCGTACTTTTAGAAAAAATCTAGCTTTGAAAACAAAAAATGGGTTGTCGGGAGTATAGCCTACAGGTAAAAAACTCAGTGGAATGTTTTCCAATTTTGCCACCTTTTTGATTTTGAATGAAGAGCTTGCGGCGCTTCAGAGGAGTCATGCAGGAATTCATTAATTACTTTAACAAACAATAATTAAATCATGATTAACTCTACTTACAAATAAACGATAAGCAAAAGGCGCAAGAATGAATGATGTAAATTAGTAATGTATTTATTTTTCACACTGACATTTGTACAGATGTCAGACCCCCAAAATGATAATTCAAAACATACATCTGGTATCGGATCTTGATCCAACCATAATACCCGAGACGATGGGTAACTCGAAGCCTTGTCAGCGCTCTAAGAAGAGCTCACGTGTGTAAACATGATGTCGTCCCAAATGTTACACAACATGCTCGCCTCGTGTCTGTTACGCAAGAACTGTTCCACCCCGGCCCACACGTTGTGCTCAGGCTCAGTGCTGATGGCCAGCTCAGTGGATCCCTGACAACAGGACATTTGAAGCAAGGGGGAGGAAGAGACCTTCCCCCCCCCGCCTTTGTGTTGGTCATTGTTTGGTTTTACAGACTTCTAGGGGGATGTGTTAGGTAACAATAGTCTAGAGTATGTTTAGGGATTGGACAGGTAAGGGGGTACCCTTCCGTCCCATATCTTCATATCTTGCGTGCTATACAACAGGACCAATGCAACTGAAAGGTGCAGTCCACTAATTCATTCAAGCGAGAATTTCTGGCCAGCTCATTTGCATTAAAAGTGCCCCCCCAGTATCTTTTGAAAAAGGAGAACATGGATGGCCTCCAAAGTGGTGAGATTTTTTAAATCTTTTCAGAATCAACTCCCTGGGTCTTTGGGCTTTCATCTGAGAGCAGAATGGCTAAAAAATACTGTTGAAAATGGCCCTAAGTGCCTTAGAAAGTTAAGGGTTCAAGATATCACTTGAAAAATGGCTGCAAGCAGACTTTGGAAAAATCACTTTTTGGGGTTATTTTGTTTTGTGGGAATAACTTAAATGTAATCGGTTAACCCGGAGAAAATTGAAAAGAAAAATTATGGACCGTACAATAATTTAACGTGTGTTTCAGATGCCTCAGGGATGTTGGTACGCAAATCATTGGGCCCCGAACAATGCCCATTTTACACTGTTTTCAATGGGTTCTGAATTAGTGGACCACACCCTTAAAAATTGCGTAATTGTGTCCGTACCATGTACCAACTTCTACATATGCACCAACCCCAGCCTAAAGTTCCCTGCATTAGTGGTGGATAAAATTTGACCTCAGATCTTTCATGAGCGTCACCAGGGCACCCCCCCCCATTTAAAAGGGAAAGCAAAAAAAAAGAAAAGAAAAGAAAAAACAAAAGAAACGAAAATAAGAGGGACGGGGGACAAAATCTTAAATTTGCTCGAAAACACCCCAAAAAAGACCTCTCTCCACTTGTAATGTAGGCTGCATGTGAAATGATCGTCCTCGAACAACATGATACTCTTATGAATTAGTACCGGAAATCTCTTTTTAAAACAGTCAACCAAAATACGAGTCATAAAAAAAAAATTTGATTACACATTTTAGATCGATCGAGAGGATTGCTACCAGTATAACCAGAACAATAAGAGCTCTTTTAAAAGAGCGGTTTTGTTCGACATTCAGAATTCCTTGGTTTCAATGATGTTTTTCTGTTATGGATTGGCGCCCTCTGTCGTTACTGCATTCAGTTCAGCAGCGTTTGCCGCGCCAGCGCACGCCGTACGTCAACGTGGGTGTATGCACATGCGCAGAGACAAAAACAGTGCAAATTCTGTCTTGGGCCAAGACTACCTCCCCTGTGGAAATGTTGAACCGAGTCGGACTCACCTTTAAAGTCCTCCAAAGCTACAACTATAGCTTTCATTAAGTCTTGCTACCCCCAACATGGTGAAAGGCATTATTTTCTATCACCATGTTAGAGAATGACCAATATTCATTGGCTGACATCCGCTGTGCATTCGTTGCTGGAGGTTGTTGAATTTAACCCCCCAAAATAAATACCAGGCCTTAGTGTTTATATATATATTTGCTCTGTATTTCTCGGAAATTAAAGGTGAAATATCAATGAAAATGTCGTAGGTCTGTCTATATCTTTAATCTCCATACGTAAAAAGGGCAAGTGCAAAACGATTTTGAATCGTTCTAGCTTTTTCCATCTCAATATTTGAAAAGGAGTTTAAAAATGTTAACATAGGATTTGCCAGTTATTTTGAGTAGACCTACATTAGTTTGGTCAGTTCTAATTTTTAAGCTTTTTGCCAAATGTTGCAGTGTACACTGAATAGATGTACCCTGTGACGTGGCGCGCGGTAATGACATGAAATATTTCTTAGATTTTCCGCCTCTAATGCCCCGATAGAGTAATTTTTTTGCCCAAAGAGGGATTTCAATGATCGAGCTCTCAACATACCCATTCATATTCGAACTTAAATTTACGTACCCAAAGTTCCGTTCAAACTCTGAATTTTTGCAAGTTTAGCAGACGGAGTGTTTAGGCCTATATCTGCATTCACATCTTAGCAGAAGTCCATGGACTGGTCACTGACTGACCGCCGTCCTCAGTAACGACCCCATTCAATTTAGGTGCTATTTAAAATCACAACTGAAATTAATGTTCAGTTTAATCTTTGAATATTTCTTATCAGCTATTCATGCATGAAAATACTTAACATTCAGCGCCACCAAAATTCTATGAATACAAAATGTCAAAATCAAGCATGTGCACACTTTTAGATTAAATATGTGTAGATTAAATGATGTTTTAACCCCTTCCAAATTCCGTCAAAATTAGGCATCTGCACTGGCTTACAGTATGCAGCCAGGGAGGAAGGGGAAGGGGCACTTCGCCCCTTGGGAAATGCTGCCAACATGAATGTGTTCTTTCTCTGAAGGAGCTAACAACGATGAGCTTTGAAGCAAGGTGGCAAATTAGTTGTAGAGGTTTGCGCTAGCACCATGCAAGGAGTATGCGTGGTTCTGAAGATAACCGGAGCTAACACATCAGGAAAGCCTGCGCAACCCAGGGGCGGATCCAGGATTTTTCAAAAAGGGTGGGGCGTGGATCCAGGATTGGGTCAGCCCCATTCACAGTTTGTCCTTTCTTTTTATCCACCCCTGCAACCACCTTTCTTTGGGAGATAAGGAATTAAATAGAGCTTATGACTGTTTACAGAAACAAATCGCCCCACCCACCTTCAGTTTCACAACCTGGATATGTGTACGCATAAGTCCATCACCTTTGCCCATAGGCAGCCCCCCCCCTTTGCGCTTGGTACCCCTTGCCTATAGCGGTTCCGATTTGTACAAAAACACGATCCGTTTTGTGCCACGCCCCGAGTCCATAGTACAGGTGTGCACCGGGTGGACCTATTTTTTTACAATGTGTATTATGTCAACGTTGCGTGCTAGTCAGTCATGCGGTTTAGTGTACGTGGTCTCTATACGCTTGGCCCTATTTGCAACTTTGGCTTCACCTTTTTTGTTCTATTACTACAATTAGACAATTTGTGCGATTTTTTTTATTTTGCCATGAATGTTAATAAACGAATTTCATTGACCAAATGAGGGTGTATTTACATGTACTTAGGTTTGAACGTCACATCTCTACAAGCAGTTTTGTGTGGCAGGACGACCTCCAGACAGAACCAAGCCACGATTTAGAAACGCTTACACACCGTGGGGGGTGCGTGCGTTGATAATTGCGCGCGCATATGTACAACGTGCGCAATATATACCCGACAGCTAGAGAGCGGACAGACAGTGCCAGCATTTCCCTGCAGAATTCATGATTTCTACCCTTTCGTGACACCTTCAACCGCCAAAATTCCTCGTCGGCGGAGTAAACCCTTGTGTCCCTCAGAACCCTCAGTATTGGTAAGTGTAGGTTCAGTCATACTTTTGAAAAATGACGAAATATGCGGCATTTTCCCCGTTTCATTCGAGATATGGCCTACGTTGGAATCCGCGCTATCTGCTGACACGTGAAGACCGTCTCTGCATATTTAATGCATCCTTTTTTGGCCACTTGTGTCTGTGCAATCGTTGAAATATTCGAGGAATTTCTTTATCTTTAAGTCTAGTTGAAGTAGTTACTTCCTCTTGGACGCGATTCATTGAAGGAGGGTGACAATATTCCCATGATTTGTTGTTCTGTTTTTCAAAATGTGTCCAGTAATTGGACCCAAAAATGGAGTGGTGGACTTGAACGCCATTTTCATTGGACATGTTGGGGGGGGGGATGCAGTTATTTTGTGTCCTTGCACAACCATGATGTAATCAGTGCAGTGTTTCCTGAAGATTGGGGGGCGGGGAGAATAAGAAGGTGGGATGTAGAATTACTAGCAACATGAGAAATGCAAGAAGAAATGTATGGTATGGAAATTCAAGCAATTTTTTTGAGGAGGGTGAAAATGTTAAAAATTTCAGCACCGGGGATAATCTTGATCATTTCCAAAATTGAGCTTTCTTTCCCAGCCCCTGACAAACACTGACAGAAGCAGAACAATGCTTTGGTTCAAATTTTGTATTTAGGCCTATTTCCCTCCTTTTAAAGAATCTCACGCCGCGCCAGGGTTCTACAGAAATTTCACTTTACTGGGGGGTTGGCCTCAAGCATTCAATGATTATTGCGTCACCACCAATTTGTTTCAGATCTTGCATTTTCTTCTAATTATTGACAACACTGTGTTGTTTTGTGTTGCGTCTCAACAGGGGGGTTGCAGCAACAAATATTGGAGCGTAGAGCCTCGCGGTGCTGAGAACCGAGACCAGTTGGACTTCAACTTTGAGCCCGAGTGGGAACCCAGCTGATATTTGCTGGGTACCCTTAGGTTTTACTTCTCAGTGTGAGTAGGCACAGTTTCAGTTTCAAGTTTTTCCCTTCTGGAGAGGTACCAAGGCTTGTAACTCATACTGATCCAAAATATTGACCATTTCTGTCAAAAGCTATCTCTAACAGTCCCAAATCCTCCAATTTCTGTATGATTTTACATATACCCTAGGGGGTTAGGGTGAGGTTTTCCCTATGAAAACAGTGATCAACCAATTTTTGGGGGGTATCCATAAAGAATGAAGTAATATGATGGATTAGCACGTAGTAAGGCACTGAACTGATCTGTGAACAGGATGTCAGATGGCCAACTGATTCTCATGTACATCGTCTGTAAAATCAGAATTGACTGGCCTGGCCAGTTTTGTGGTCGGCAAAATGCCGAGGAAAGAACGGCTGCAGTCAAAACAGGTTGAAGCTTTTCAGCACTCGGCTGCTGGTCCAGTACAAATCTTACCAGCGACAGGACTGAATATTACATCTTACTACTAGTAACTCGTAGTACTATGTAGGGTTAGGGTTAAAAAAATGAATTCGAGGCTCGCTGCTGGTTTCCAAACTGGAAATAAGTTGGTCTGAACAATTTGTCTGCCGTTAGTTTTTGATGGCTGATGTTTTTTAGCAGCAAAGTGCACAGTCTGTCGCCATTTGATTGTGGTTTGTGTCAAATATTATAATGGTCAATAAGTTGTTGTAATCTCCCAGAAAAAAGAGCCACTTGAATGAATTATTTTAATTTTGTGCATTTTGAATTAACTCGGGTGACATGTGCCAGTTTTTTCCAGATTTCAGGATTTTTTTCATTAGGGGCTTCCTAAGTTAACTCTAACCCTGCTAAATGCACCAGAGGTAAAAGTTGCTGCAAGTTGGTGCATTTAGCAGGCAACACAAGTCTTCTGGTGATATGAGTTCTGGTGCATTTAGCAGGCTCGGTGTTTGGTGTACCTTAGGTTTTCTGGTGTATTTGTCTGGGTCAGAAAAGTTTACCCAAGCAAATCTGTTGTACTGGTGCATTCAGGTGCATTTAGCAGGGTAGCTGGTGGTACACTGTGGTACCGAGAGCAACATAAATTATTTCACTGCACAATGCACCAAAAGGCAATATGCACCAGTGCGCACTGGTGCATTTAGCAGAGTACCCATGTGAGGTTTGGTGCATTCTGGTGCCTTTAGCGGGGTCCTGGGCAAATACCCCTTGGGGTTAGGGTTAATCCTCTCCATTCTACACATTTGAATAGATTTTTTGGCAGGATTTTTCAGTCCAAATAATAGGAGAGCTATGGATTTTCAAACGATGTCTTTTCAACTTGGTTATTTCAGAGTATGTGAAAGTTTTTTATGCAAAAGGTGAGATAGACCACAAGAAGGGTTTTTTAATGGGTGCCTTTAGGCATATACAAATATATGTATCACAGACCCTATGCTGGTGTTTGGCCCTAAAATTACCTTTGTTGGTTTTGAAGTTATTTTATTTTCGTCAAATCTCATTCCTGTAAGAATGGCATTCAAACTGTTCCATCGTGTCCATTGCTGGCAGTTTTCTGCAAAATCTTTTAATCCCTAAACATCTGGTCGGTTGGATGCGGGCAGTACATTTAAACTTGAAACCTGTTTCGTGCGTTATTCATTTGCTGACGTTTTACAACGATTAGCGACCACCCGGAATGTTGACAGCCATTTTGCGTCATTTCAGTTTGCATTGTATTGGGTGACTGTATTTGCCCATGCAAGCTGCAACTTTGACGTGTTCTTTTCCTCTTTCCCTCGCAGCCTGTTACGCATTTCATAGGAACCTCCCACCACCAACCCCACCGGCAGGGGCGTTTTTGTCCTCTCTCTCCTGTTTACGGCAAGTGCAATGGAGCAAATTGCCTTCCAGGATATTCAAGTCCAGGTGTACGGCCGGGACACTCGTGTGCGAGACATTGTCAACGATAAAGTGATCGACTGCAAGGACAGAGAGGTATTGGTCTCTCTTGTGCTGCCTCTTCCAAAATAAAAAGCCCCGGCGTCATTTCCCCTGCAGAGTGTATCCCTGTGCTGGGACAGAGGATGCTTGTTCTCATTGTGTCTATTCAGATCAAGTCCACTTACCCTTGACTGCCTCGGGATCAAAGCATACTCAATAAATCATCTTCAGAGGCTAGGTTTTTTGTATGCAACTCCAAGCTGTCATTTGTGCACTGCTCTGTTGAATATGGACAAGACTGATTGCCAGAATGTGGCTGCTGGGTTGCTCAGCATTCACTGCTTACGTTAGGCAAGGTCCTACTTGTTAGCAATTGTTAGTGCTCTGATGAGCAGCCGTGAAACCAGTCTATTCCCCCTTTAAAAATACATACGCTGACAAAGGAAACCTGGTGAAGTGTAACTGCCACATTATAAGTCTGATGTGGACCAGTGCGAGGAGCCACTGGCTCCTAGAAAAAAATATTTTAGGTACCAGGTCAATTTTTGTACATTACTTTAGACACATTTTCAAAATACACAAGTTACATGTACAAAGTCTGACAAAACAAACAGAAACGTTCTTCTGTCAATTGTCCGCAAGATAGACAGGCTTTGGATTTTGTGCTTGGGAATAAATTTACAAAATGTCAATCCATTATTTTGGGAAAAAACAGCTGAGATAAAAGATAGGACATAGTTGTTCTTTTACTTTTGAGTATTTTGTACCTGGGACGGGACCAAAGGAAGCTTGAAGCAATTTGGTTTCAAACTTACATTTGGGACTGAAACAAGTTTATTGCTGTGGAATTGTGGCATGCATAGATTGCTAGTACATCTCATGAATATGCAAACGTTTGGGACTGAAACAGGTTTGTTACTGGAATTGTGGCATGCATAGATTGCTCGTGCATCTCATGAATATGCAAATGTTTTGGACTGAAACAGGTTCTTTACTGGAATTGTGGCATGCATAGATTGCTAGTGCATCTCATGAATATGCAAACGTTTGGGACTGAAACAGGTTTTTTGCTGGAATTGTGGCATGCATAGATTGCTAGTGCATCTCATGAATATGCAAACATTTGGGACTGAAACAGGTTTGTAACTGGAATTGTGGCATGCATAGACTAGTGCATCTCATGAATGTGCAAAACATCTCAGTTCCCCATACACACTTTATACAGCATACAAACACGAACAAGTCGACTTGGGTTGCAGTTTAACATGTAATCATGATGTGTACATGTACATAGATGGATAAAAAACACGTGATCAGAGACACATCGCTCGGTACAGTGCGCATAGAAGAAGACTGGGCTGTGATCGTTTGTGAAAAATGACTGACTAGGTGGCTGACTAACAGGCACAAATCATGTCGCCATTGGCGATAAAAATGAAACATTTGGTCATAAATCATCAGTTTTTAGGTGCAAATGCAACTATCTTGGTCGCAAAGTACAGCGCTGATGTGGACTAATGTCATTTATGGAGTGGACTTTGCTTGAGGCTTATCTAAAGTGGTAAAGTTAAATAACCTCTTGTCTGCATGATAAAAAGTTAATGGCAACCAGGCAGTTCTGCAGCCGAGTGGCTTGCCTGTTTGCCGGAAAGACATGAGAAGATTGACTGCATTCATTCTGTCCCCTTTTTCCTTATTTCCTTATCATGCTAGGATCCTGATGATGCTTTCTTCATTGGGGACTTGGGGAATATTGTTGCCAAGCATAAGAAATGGGTCAGTGCCCTGCCTCGAGTTGAGCCATTCTATGGTGAGTTCCTTCGTTGTGGAAATTTGGTTCTTCTGGTTCATTGCTAAATGTTGGTCTGCTTTTGTAGAGTTCCATAACTGCTCAGTACCTTGTAAAGTGATAAATACTGCACTGAGAGATTCAGTTTTAATTGTACTCCTCCTGAATGCAGAATTCTCCAAGATGTCAAGATCTACAATGAACAGACATGCAACTTATCTCGGATGAGAATATTTTTATATTTTTACTTTTCATGAGTGCTTTGACAAAACTTCCTCTTACCCTGATGAAGTTCCATTCGCTTACCTGACAAAAACTGTTTCACTTGTGTTTTGTAACAAGGAAAATCTTGTTCCAGGTGGTAGTGATGACTCGGTATTTTTGGCGAATCCTGGAATTTTCGGGACATTAGCCACAAATGCTTCCATGGTTCTGTAGTGAATTATGATACCCAAGAATTCCCCCCTTTTTTCACTCAGCTGTAAAGTGCAACCCTGATCGCAATGTACTCAAACTCCTCGCCGGACTAGGCACCAACTTTGACTGTGCCAGCAAGGTAAGTCGGAAAGAAGTTCCCTGGCACCCATGATCCCTTCTGACAGATTCTGTCCTGTAGCCATGGCGATGAAGATCCACACTTGCCCTCTCTGAGTCACTGTGACTGAATGAAGTTTAACTGTACTCAAAACTCTTCTGAGCCATTGTTGTCAGATACCTGTAAATATCTACAGCTTTTTTTTTCATCACAAAGTTTGAATAATGACAGATATCTCCCTAAATGCAGACTTCAGGCCGAAGCAAATTTGTCACACTAATAGTGGGCAATCCCCCTAAAATTGCATTCATTGACAGAGTGAGATTGAGATGGTTCTGAGCCTGGGTGTGGCACCCTCTCGCATCATTTTCGCCAACCCTTGCAAGCAGCGCTCCCATCTCAAGTACTCTGCCAAGGAAGGTGTGGACCTCATGACATTTGACAATGAGGAAGAACTTCACAAGATCAAGAAAGTTTTCCCTGAGGCACGGTAAGATGCACCTGCAGCGCTGCATTTCTAGCTTGTTAGCTTGAATATTTTTATGGCAGTTGTGAAAGCTTTAATTATCAAAAAAATCTTTTCCCCTGTTAAATATTTTCCAAAGAAAATTTTCACAAAATTTGCATTGTTGATGTGCTAGTGCCTGGGTTGACCATGACCCTTCCAGTGGTCACAAAGTAGCTGGTTTCAAAGGGAGCGTAAGATTGTTCGACACCCAATTACGTTAACTCGGAGAGCATTCCAAAAAGTCTCATTCCGTAGGATGTGTAAGCTACTTTAGAGAATGTTGCAATGGAAGCCCGAGGTTTCTTGTATGATAAAGTGGAATGATGCGACAGTGTAAAGTGCAACGTCACTGACACTGGAGAAGTCTTCCGGAGATAAAACAAGAATTTGATTGTTCTGAATGAATTTCATTTTGGGTTTATCTCTAGGCTGGTGCTGCGTATCCTGACGGACGACTCGACTGCTCAGTGCCAGCTGGGTCTGAAGTACGGCTGCCACCCCAAGCACGCCCTGTACCTGCTGCAGACTGCCAAGGAACTCGAGCTTGATGTCGTGGGCATCAGGTGATTTGCTCGCTGCCTTCCCGTCACAATGTTGGGCAGTGTCCTTTGTCTCTTGTTTGCTGTTCTCTACTGACTTGGGTCACGCTAATAAATATGTTTGTAATATTTTTCCGGTTAACAGCAACCGAATTTGGCTCGGATCAGGATCAGTGTCCAAAGGACAGGCCAAATCAAATTTGGACAGGCATTTTTTTGCCTTTGCTGGGAAGGGACTTCAGTCCTAGGTGAAACCCTGACTTGGATGGTTGCATCATTTGGGAGCCTTTTTTTTTTTGACTTGGCTGACGCGGACACTGGCCACATAATGTCCGTAACCGACATCTTTGTAGATTGAGTGGAAAAGTCACCGACTAAATGCAGGGTTCATTTTTTGCTGCAGCTTCCATGTTGGAAGTGGCTGTCGTAATGCCGGCGCATTTGCCGTTGCCATCCAGTCGGCCCGAGACATCTTTGATAGCGGAGAGCGTCTGGGAATCGTCATGGACCTCCTGGATATCGGGGGCGGCTTCCCAGGTCAAGCCTCGGCAACCATCCCTTTTGAAGAGGTGAGATTTTCGCGGAAGAGGTCCGTAGAGTCTGCACACATGACAGAGGGCAGTGTTGTGCCCAAAATAAACTTTACCCCCATCCTGCTGTTGTGAATACAAACCGGTTAGAGTCTAGAGCTGTTTAAAAATTAATTCTGGTTTTTGTAAATTTCAGTGCCACAGTGGTGTTCTGCAGTTTTGTTGCCAAGGGGGTAACTTGGTACCATGGAGGAGACTGGGAGAAAAAATTGTACCTTCACACGTTTCTCAGACTGACCAGATTGTTGTTGATGGTAGCAGAAGTCTGTATATTGATTTTTGACTTGATATCGTTTTCAATTGCCGACAGTTTACTCATGTGATCAACACGGCTCTTCAGGAGCACTTCCCTGTCAGCAGTGGTGTCCACGTCATTGCTGAGCCGGGCCGTTTCTATGTAGCGTCGGCCTTCACTCTGTGTGTGAACATCACCGCCAAGCGCATGGTGGCCCGTGACATCCAGACGTTCTCTGTGCCAGAATCCAAGGGTAGGTGAAGTGTCCGAGTATTCTCTACAGTACAGAAGAGATAAAGTCTGTTCATGGCTGGCCAGTCTAATGCTTTGTCCAAGTATTTTTTTAATATGTAAAATATTGGAAGTTAACAAGGCCAATAGGCAACCCCAGTTTGTAAAGTGACCGTATTGGAAAGGTGGTTGAGACTTCGTACATGGAATGAACGAACCAATTTATATATGATGGTGTTGTGAAATTATAATGTCTTTATTAAAGGTAATTTCTGGGTATACTCTATTTGGCAGATCTTGTAGCCAACTCGGTTGCTCCCAGCAGCTCCGACGAGCCAGGATTTATGTACTACGTCAATGATGGAGTGTATGGCTCCTTTAATTGTCTGCTGTACGATCACGCAACTGTTGAGCCCAAGCTCCTCCAGGTAACAATACGGAGATTGAAAACCTGCATGTTAAACTGTTCTCCATAAAGATCTGATTTCTTATAAAAAATTCACTCGACACGACCAAAGCAAGAATGTCTTGTTTGTGTTGGTTCTAAAGAGGGGAACTTAGGGCTGTGAGAAACATCTGATCCTTGTCTAGAAGCTGCCGTCATTCTTGGCCACTGACCAAATTTTCTCATTTTCAGGAAAGAGACAAGACAGTGCTGCAGTACTCCACTAGCATCTGGGGCCCGTCATGTGATGGTCTGGATAGAATCATTGAACACTGCCTGATGCCAGAGCTTGAAGTGGGCGAATGGATGATATTTGAAGGTGAGATTAGAAACACACGGTTCTCGACGTTTAGAGGGGTCAACAAAAGAACCCCTCCAAGGCATTGTAGCATTCCTTACATTTATTTCTTCATGCCCGAAAAATCTTGTTCTAATTATGTCTATTTTATCCGTTCCCCGGAATTACCTTTTGTGGAATGTTCATAGGAATTGCTCTGTGTTTGTCGTTTGCCCAACTAGTATCCCCACCAATGCAAAACGACAGGCAATTTAAAACTGACTCTGTACTTCTGTCCTTTTCTCTGACAGATATGGGAGCTTACACCATGTGTGCTGGCTCCGAGTTTAATGGTTTCAAGCGTCCAGTTGGCTACTACGTTCTTCCCAACAATCTTGTGTAAGACACAGACTTGTTAACCCTTAATGTCCTCCATCCACCTGTTCAAGGAATCAGGAGTACTCGTGTCAATCCCGAAAGTATTGACCCTTTGCAGTTCATGTTTTGTGCGTGGCATCTTGGATGGTCTTCCAGTTTCACCAACCCAACTAATTCTGTACTGTGGCCATCTATGTGCATTCATTGGAAGCAGTTGGATCCCAAGAAGAAATATCGGATCCACTGGGGTTTGTTTCCGACGTGGTCATGCAGAAAATGGGAGGCCTCTGTGTTGGGTAAAACCTTACTTGATGTATGCTACGGCATTAAACTTAGGAGTGAGCCATGTCATTTAACCTTTGACCTCCATTGACCCCTGCAGGACCCCCCTCCAGCGCATGTTCCCGGACAGTTCCACTCCTTGCTACCAGAAGGCCTCCCTGCGGGACTCTGCCACCTCCCTGACCGGTTCCCGCTTTGCTGCGCTGCCAGCCAAGCTTGTCTGTCTCCATGGCAACGAGGAGGACCCCTACGCCCAGCCCGAAGTTGAAGCACTGTTGTAAGCCCTCCAATCGGAGGGGAAAGAATTGTTACCATGGCAACTGGCGGATCTGCTTTGGGAAACAATTTTTGTGTTGTACCCTCTCAATTGCCGTCTCTGTAACACACCGTGTGTCTGGTATGCCTCTACCTTTGCACAACTTTTGCACAGAATGTGGTACTTTAAAGTCTCTGCGCTCAAAAACAATTTGCATATCTCCTGCTGTACATGCGAGTCAGTATTGAAGTTTCAAGCTGGCAATTTTTTTGACGTCAACCCGAGTTCCGGCCAATTTTACGTGGCGGGTTCTTATTGATGCAGTGCTGCAAAAATGACTTTTCTCCCCAACTGTTTGGGATTACAGCGGAAGCCAGTAAATATTTGCCATTTGGTGACAATAGTAAAAATTGGCTAGATGATCACAAATTTGGATTACCATCAATTTTTAAGAGGCATGGTATTTGACAAGTTCTTTCACAGAGCAGATCAGACACAAAGTTTCCACTGATATGTTCTTACAATTTTTCTAGTTTGGGTCATTATACTAAAGCATTTTCTGGTAATATTGTATTGGTACTGTAAGATTGTAATGCTGGGTAGCACAGAATTTATCTCACTTTGATTGTGAAGGTAACTGGGTTTAATTATGAAGATCAATTGTACATATATGTTGTGAACTTTGGACGTTTGGGAAATTGGTATTAATAGTAAGCTGCATTTGAACCAAGTCTTACGTAGGTGCAAAATTAAGCATGTGTAATCACAAGGTGTATTCATAATGGTCTTGGGTTTCTTGGGATGGCAAAGCTGGCTTAGGTTAGTAAATCTTGTAGTTGAATATGCATGGCATGTAGAATCACAGTGAACATGTACAGCGAGTTACACCTCTTCGTTAGCTTCAGTTTTGCAGTATGCATTGGTGAGTGCTCTTTACATGCTAGTACATGTATATATTTGCAATCATCATACATCGGACAAACTCAGGAGGATATTTGTAGCCTTGATTTATTGGTGACTAGCACCTGTCACAGACATCCTGACAAGCTAGACCCCGGAGTGACAAAAACCTCCCATTGCCCGAAATAAAAATGAGAGCTTCCAACGAGTCAACTGTATCTGTACACGCTGAACATTCACAGACTATAGGATACATCAAAGTAATGGTAATGTCCATACACACATCATAACGCATCAATATCACAAAACAAAAAGCAAGAATTACTCACTGGGGGTTTCCTTGTAGACTGTACTACAGTAGTCTCCATGGGACTTTGCCTACGCAGACGTAGAAATGGGTGCTACTGACATCAAACTACATGTATACACATGCTTTCCAGCTCCCTCGAAAACAACTCCACTCCCAGTGAAAGTCTTCGACCATTCCTTATACCTCCTTGTTGGTATTCATACGCAGAGAGTTACCAAGTAAATAACCGTAACCGTAAGTAATGTGAGTTTCAATTCAAACATCACCAAGATATCACATAATACAAGGGGTTATTATTATTAAGCAACAATTACAAGACACACAACCATGCAATTAAAACTCTGACACAATGTAGATCAGCTATACCATATGCATATTCATGTATAAGTTTTTAAGAAGTGAGGTCGCCCTTGCTAAGGCACAGTCCCCTACAAAAGATTACGTCAGTGTTCAGGCGATGCATTAGTTTGCCCAAAAGGGTAAATTTTAAGTTTTAAAAAAATAATTTTGAAATTATGCTGCAGTGCGCAGTCCAAAAGTACATGTATATAACTTTATCCCAGTGAAGCAAACTCTTAATTCTAGGTTGCCTTGAAGGGGGCCTATACAGCAGCTGAGTTACTGACGTTGGTCAGATGCTTAAAGGTGCAGATGCACATGTAGATTGCAGTGAAACAGCATTGGCTTTAAAATAATATTTATCGTGTAGGAAATCTAAAAATAGTAAGCCTTTAGGTAGACGCAGGCCTTAAATTTCACGTCTGTGTACAAGAATTTATACAAACTAGGATTTCGCCACTAATCACCTGCCTATGTTTGAGCATTTTCATAGAAGGGGTCATCAAATGTTAACATTTTTCGCAGCACGGTGTGATTTTTCAAGGCCCCTCTCCCTTCCTTAAATTAGTACTTGCCAACATTTTTCTATTAGTATCCTGAAATAGACGAACCCTTGTAGGCAGTGTTGTTGGAAAGTGCGGTACATGGACAGTACATGTGCATGCACTCTCCGTAGGAGCCAGCTCTCAGTTTGCATTTTTGTGATTTTTCACGTTTTACATATAAATGAGAATACTATTAAAAAAAATCAGCATTATACCAGACCCAAAAGTCGGACATGGCTGTATCAACCCTCTCCTCTTCACGCACTTTGCACAACTGTGGAAATGTTGGGAACTTTGGACAACCCCTCAACAGGTGTTAAATGCAGCTGTTGTCGGTAATTGACTCAATTAAGCTTATTTGTTTATTCATTATGGCATTGCATAAGATCATTTAACAAAAGATGGGTTGGATATAAATTGGTGGTGGAGTCTTGGTTTGATGTTGGTCTTAAGGTCCTCATCGTTAATTAAAGCATAGCAATCATACAAAAATGTATCTGTTAAATTCAAGGATAAATTTGACCTTAGTAAACGTTGGTGTTTGTGTATCACATTGAATTAAAACCAAGTTGACTGTAATAAACAAGATTAAATGTTATTAAAGACCCTGTTTGTTGCAAAATGAATTTTATGGGAAAATGAATGCTGCACGGCACGAGCCCTCATTGTTTGAAATTGTTGAACATAGCTGGTACTGTTGCAGAAATTATCCCGAAAAGGAATACTGTATTTTACAAGTGGCCTCTTATGAAAATGACGCCAAAACAATTTGAAGCGATATACTCATTTTGGGATAGAGGGTTGTATTATATAATGCATTAAAATACAAACAGAAGAAAGTTTTAAATTGAATTTTAGTAGAAAAGTTGGTGACAAAACAATCCTCAAGCACTTTTAATATATGTTAGGTTTTTTTTTCTTTTTTTCTGGATAAAATCATTGATTTCCTGTGGGAAAGCCCTTACAAATCACTTCACTGAATTGCTGAGTAAATGTGAGCCTTTCCTGTCAATTCATAACTTTGCAGTGTTACCAGTCAGAGGGTGTTCACCTTGTGAATCAGAGTGAGGATTGAAGTCGTTTCCTTAATTCTCTTCGGAGGATCTTGCCACTAGCCGACTTGGGGATCTGATCTATGAAGACAACCCCCCCACGAAGCCACTTGTGTGGGGCAGCCTTCTCTGAAATGGCACAATTCAGGACAGAAAGAGGATTGGAAATCAGTTTCAAAGTCCCATGTGATTTGTCCACAGCTGTGTCCTTGAGCATACAAAGATATTCATCCATAGGCAGTCTCATCTACGTCATAAACATCATGCGCGCAGTAGCATCTTTTCATGCAAAGGATTACAGGTTGTGCACATTCTGTTGAAAATGACAGTACCTTGCTAGATGCATCATCCAAACTTTTGCTCATGGAACTTGAGTTTGTTCTGATTACTAAAGCTGGTTCTCACTAAATCACTTTCTCTGGCCAGTCCTTCCTAGTATGCCAATTAGAGCCTATTTACAGGTTCCAAATGATGTGAATAGTGCAAGGGTGGATCTCGATGGGGGGCCACCCCCCCCCAAAAGAATGCATTGTTTTTACATAATGAAAGGTATTTCATTCCCCCCTCCTTCAAAAGGGGTTTGAAAGGCCCCACATGTAGCCACACCCCTCATAAGACCGTAATAGGTACATTACTTGTAAAACTTCTCTAAGTGTTTTGGCACAAGTTTTCCCCACTCCCTCCAAGTGGGTTTTGTATCTCCTCTTTCTAGGATAGGGTCAGGAATAGCACCCATCAGTTTAGGGTCTGTTGCTTCACCAAATACAGAATTTAATCTGAGTGATCACTCGACAGTGAGCCGGCCACCAAAACCGAAGATTCCTGAGGGAATACATGCATGCCGTATCAGGCCCCTTGTAGCCTCTACCATTTATCACAGCTCTCACCTGCCACAAAGTCCTGGACCATCTCAGGGGTCAGGCTCTCTGTCTTGCGGACCACAAACGCCCGGGGCAGCTCGCCAGCTGCTTGGTCAGGCACCCCTATCACCCCAGCATCCAGAATCTGAGGATGTGTAAGGAGTAAGGCCTCCAACTCTGCTGGGGGAACCTGGTGGGGGAAATTTCACACAACCTTCTGTTCACCTGCTCACTGCTGGGTGGTTTGAAAAATGCAGTGCACATAATCAGGACTTTATCAAGATTTTTAGTTTTCAAAATTCTTCAAAAATTCATCATTTCAATTAATGGACGTTTACACCCACACGAATTACTGTCTGGTAGCCACTGTCTGGTAGCCATTAGTCTGACAGACAAATCTATTGACGCCCGAGTATTTCAGCCAGGCCTGCTGCCTTGTAAAAAGAGCCCAGGCACAGTGCGCTGCTGACCTCATTTCAATAGGGACCAGATCAGCGTGCAGCAGTGCTGTGTGGCTCATCGCTGTGGTAATCCGCTCGCACTAAATGCCCAAAACCATGGTATACAGTTTCAAAATTTATCTCCACTATTGAGAGTGAAAAAATGTTGGTAATGCCCAGCAGCCTGGTCTTTTGTTCCGAGTACGGTCTTTTGTTACAAGGCCCAGTTCCCTTTGTCTGATTTCGGAGACCCTGGCCACATGTATAAACACATGGTGCCCGAAATCGGAGTCCCCGGTGGCATGTGGTTAACTTGCTATTAATACCTTCCCCATTGTTAAGATGTTGTGTGCCTAACACTGCCTATTAATTTAATTCAAGTCAGAACCTAACTCAGACATAGAAGTTACTCTTACTTGGAATGCCTTGTATTTGATGAGTTCTTTGAGTCGATCTGCAATCCACAAAAAGCCATCTTCGTCGATATGACCAATATCACCTGCAGGGTGAAAGATAGGTAAAGGTCATAATTCTGAACACTGCATTTCAACGGTACACACATTAAATTTCAAAGGCTGCCAGAAACAATTTAGAATGCCTTGAGCACTTAATTTGGAGACACCGACTGTCATGAGAAACTCAGGTCTGCTCCGAGAGATTTCTAATGGAAGCAAGCATCATGATCTCTTCGTAACAAGTCCACATTACGTTGGGAACAAGTCTCAGTCTCAGTCTCCAAGTCTCGGTCTGAAAGGAGTGGATCTCAGTCTTGGTCTGGAATTGCCTTGGTCTTGTCTCGGACATCAAGGTCTCGAATACAACACTGTAACTACTCCACATTACATTGGGAACAATTCAACTTACACAACAGGATCTCTTCCTATATACCCCCCAGGTACACGCAATTATGTACAAAATAAATAGATTTTGAAAAACAAAATGTCTCCACCTGTGTGCAAGAAGCCATCTTTGTCGATGCTCTGTGCCGTGGCTTCTGGGTTCTTGAGGTATCCTTTCATGGTCTGTGGTCCTCTCAACCAAATTTCCCCGTCTTGACCTGGGCCAAGAGGTTTCCCTGAAGTGACATCAATGACCTAGGCAAAACAAGGAACCAGCAAAACATTAATTGGATCTTTTACTGAATCTAAATCCAACAGGTCTCCCGCTGATGTTAGAAAACAAACGTCTTTCATTTTTCTAGTCCTGGAAAAATCTTGCACCCTATGTAAGCTTTCTTTTACCCTTTTTGCGACCCACATATTTACTATGACTCTAAACGACTCTCAACCAGCGGGGGAAATGGAAGACATTGATAGGTCATGGTTCGTACTCTGTGGTCTAAACAAGATGCAACGCATTGCAAGGTGAACGACCGATTTCTCAGCACGTACAGTAGTTCATTGGAAAGGTTGAGAGTACTGGGAAATGGGTGAAAATTGATGGGCCCAATCGACTGCTAAAACTTACTTCACGGTTTTAAAAAAGAGGCCTGTGGTTCTTTCATTATAGTACAAGTAAATGCATGTGATAACATTATTTCTAAGAGTTATGTTCGATCAGCAATGAGCCATTTCACTGTTATTTTGTAGGCGGACAATGTGACAAATTTGTTTCAAAGTTATACCTTCATCTCAGCGTTTGGCAGAAGCAACCCCACCGATCCATAGTTGATGACATTGTAGGGTGTTACGGAAATGGCACAAGATACCTCTGTTAGACCATATCCTTAGGGGAAAAAAACTAATCAATTCATTTATTAAAAGCTCAAAAATGCCACTCTCCATTTCACAGAAATTTCTTGGAGAAACAAAACTTTCCTCAGAGTGTTTCAGTCACGGCAAAAAGGTTAGAACGGGCAGCTCATCAAGACAAGGACAAAATTCTTATCAAAGACATTTCACGGAAGATGGCCAAGGTGCCCGTTCAAAATGATGATTTCCATTTTTTTTCAATACCACAAAACTTAAAACAGAGGTTCACTTTGCAACTGGATGGGAACCATCCTTCTAACAGACAAAATGCAGTATTTAGTATGGAAATCTGTTTTAATTCCCAAAGTCCAAATGACAGGAATTGTATTACTGGAGGGAGGGATTTATACTTGTCAATTTGCTTTCCTTCGGAGGGAAATCAGGACAAAGCCCATATGAAGCATCTGAACTAACCTTGTATGAGGGATTTCAAGTTAAGCCTGTTAGCAATCGTCTCCATTATTTCTTGGCTGAGTGGAGCAGCACCTGCTGTTATTTGACGTACTGATGACAGGTCGTACTTGTCCACCAAGGGCGACTTAGCCAGGAACAACATGAGAGGAGGCACCAGCGAAAGCAAAGTGACCTACAGGGAACACAGCCGGTCACATCTCAAAATCTCAGAGAGCATTTGCCTCAGACAAAACTGGTCCAATGGACAAGCAATGTTGCCAGCTAGCTGTGCGTTTGGGATGGAAAAACTACAGTATATCATTGGCTGGATTCATAGCAAGCTGATGTAGGTACGCACTAATCTAGGGCATGACAAATTATCGGGTGAAGACAATGACTGTCACAATGGGGGGGGGGCCGAATCATGTTTCTGATTCTTTGTTACGGTTTACCAAAATAGATGACATTGGTAATTACCTTGTAGTCCTGTATGCTCCGCAAGAAAGATTCTGGTTGGAAGTATGGAAGGCTAACGATCCTTATCCCCAACCAAAGGAACTGTAGCAGGCAGTAGTTCAAGCCATAGACGTGAAAGAAAGGAAGCAGGGCCAATGTACAATCATCTGGGTAGACCTCGAGGATGTGCTTGCTGATCAATACCAGGCAAAGAAAAAAAAAAGGTTTTTTATCTTCAGTGGAGAGACTGGCAGGGGAAGTAAAAATCAAGTTACTTTCTGGAAATGAGGGCAGTCAAAGCCAGGAACAAATTTCAGACTGAAAATGAGACTCAATGCAGTTTGGTATCCAGCAGGGAGCAGAGAGAGCAACTAACAATGCTGCATTTGTGCCTACTCAACCCAATGACATATGTGAACAGGTGCGAGTAGGCTGAAGATACCATTTCTTGATTTATGAAAGTCAACACTGAGTTTTTAAGGATTTCAGTCAACAGCATCTACGTTTCAATACATGTGTAATCCCCACAACTATGCGTGTCTCTCCCACACCTAGGGCAAATGTTGTTTACTAACTCCATTTCTTTGATGCCAGTTGACAATGACAAAGTCTTTATCGATACGAAGCACCTCCTCCTCAAAGAAGAGACAGGCAAGCAACCCACCTGGTTCGCTGGAACATGTTACTGATGATATTCCGGTGAGTCAGCATGACACCTTTGGGCTGTCCTGTGGTCCCACTGGAGTATGGAAGCAGGACTGTGTCATCAGGGTTGACCTTTGGCCTTGGAAGACTCTTCCCATCATTGTTGAGAAGTGACAGGTAGGGGGTACATCCCGGGTGCTCGCCAAAAACAACAACCTCCTTTGTAAGAAAAAAATGGCCCCCCTAAAAAAATCTATGCATCTTACTTCTTGAAATCAGAGGTGATTTCTGGTAACACTGAGCAAAATGCAACAGAGGTGGAGCAATTTTTCNTGGTAACGTACCTACAGTGTACTTTGGGTTCATGGTAGTCACAACCCCACCAGCATTCATGACGCCCAGCAAGACTACTACGTACTCCAGACAATTGGGGCTGTAGATTGCAAACACGTCGTCTGCCTTGAAGCCCTTGGAATGCAAGCTGAATCGAACCTTTCTGACCAGAAGTTTGATCTGCTTGTAAGTGTACATATGCCCCGTAATGCCATCGACCTAGTCCAGAGAAAAAGACGAGAGGAATTTTGCAATTAATAAATGAAACTTTGAATGCCAAGTTCTATGTTTCACCAAGAAGCTACACGGTTATGCTTAGTGCTTTTTGCAAAGCCTTGAAGAAAGAAACTTACATCTTGGACTAGATTAAAAAATATAACTTCATCTTCTGGTGCAGGCATCTTGACAGACTGACTACCAAGCTCCTCAGAGCTGACTGATTTGAAGTTGAGAACTTTGCAAGTTACGCACTAATTGGCATGGAATTTAAATGCAGTTAGAGTGTGAGGTTGATTTTAAGGCCAGAAATTTAACCGGTCACTGATTCCGGAGTTCTAATGGCTTAGTTGACCCTGCTGCGAGCAGCACCATTTTCAATGCAATTTTTCTTTCAAGAAGTTGACAAATATCCAAGAACAGTCCAACTAGCTGATTTAAAATGTGTTTTGAACTCATCTTAACGAGCTCGCTGCATGACCATTACTCAATCAAAAATTACAAATTTTGCCGTTTTACACCCCTGTAGAAGTGTTTGTGAAATGTTATACCCAGTGTTGGCTCAAACTTTAATTGCGGTTCAACGTATAGCTACGTTAGAGGAGAGAGATTTCTAATACCATGGCAACTTGGTCTCCATAGTGATCAAAGGGCTCCATGATAAATTCATCAACAGCCATGTTGGGAAAGCTGACGTCAGGAAACTTGCTTTTGAAGATTGTCATCTTGTTGCTAGGTGCAGTGAATGTGGTTAACTGCTCAGGAAATTAGGGACAAACTATTAAAAGGGAAAAATAATGACAAAATACGATAATTTTCCAAATAATTGAATATAGGGCCTACATGTGCTTAGGTAAATGACTAGTGCAATGGTCACTCAGCACAATCGCATGATGATGGTGACTTCCAATGGATCCATTATTGAAATCTGCGACTATACTTCCCTTTTTGAAACAATGCTCCTGAAAAACCAAAGCCAAGTGTTTTCTAAGTAAATGCTTCAGAATTTCCCAGCTAAATTTCACTTCTTAGGACATGTTATCACTTTCTGAATACTTTTATAGGCCTAATTAAAAGTTTAACCATTTACTGCCGGGTGGATTTTTCTTGAGCAAGACAAGATGCCGTCTCATTTTCAAGATTTTACGTTTTCACAAATTCATCATTTCATTTAATGGCCGTTTATACCAAAATGAAGGACTCTTTGGGCACTATTCTAAAGCTGACAGGTAAAATTCATTGACTCCTTAATTTCAGCCAGGCCTGCAGCCTTGGAAAAAGAGCCTAGATTGTGCGGTGTTACGTAAGATTCTTTTGTTCCCGAAGCCGGCACCGTGCACTGCTGACCTCTTTTTCAATAGGGGACAGAGCGGTGCTGTGTGGCTCATCGCTGTGGTGGTGGAGTGCTTTTGTCCCCGGTGGTAATCCGCTCGCTCTAAATGCAGTGCCTAAAAACGAGGTATACTGTTTCAAAACGAGGCTGGATTTTCTCCACTATTGAGAGCGAAAAAATGTCGGTAATGCCCAGCAGCTCAGTCTTTTGCGCTGAGCACAGTCTTTTGTTATAAGGCGCGGCTTCGGGCTCCCGGCTCTGCATATAAAGCCTATGTACTTGAAAGCAGGTCGCACTGCAGGAAGTGGTTCAGGGGGAAATTAGTTTTGACTGTATACACAATTGAACTCTTAGTTTCACTGAAAGTTTCAACAATTCACAAAGATGGCCACAGTGACCATGTACCATGCTGCAGTGTGACTAAACTCACCATATGCAGCCAGAAGTGAGACGGCCGAATCCATAGGTCTTCCTACTCCTAGCCTTGTAGCACCGCTATACAAGGCTGCAGAACTGAGCATGCGCATTAACGAGCAGAAGTTCACAGGTACGCTATGAAAGCCTCGCAGTACATATCCAGGGCGTGGGGGGGGGTACCCATCGGCCCCATATCGTACGTGCCAGTGCACAACATGTAACTTGTGCGGTATGATGGGGTCATGTGCATGAATGTATAGGCCAAATAACACAACAGATGTAAGCAGGAAGTTACAATAAAGTTCATGCATGCGCGATACCCCGTGGCCATGGTGGCATACATACCAGCTAGGAAGGTTTTCACGCAACACTTCATGTGGAATACATTACCCACTAGTTAGCCTGTATGTATGATCATGCATGTGGATCCGGGAGGTGCAACATTTACATCCAATTTCCAAATATTTACGTGTGCCACCGGCTCCCTCGTCAACGTAGGCCTACTGCGTGAGGTAGGCTGTACGCGTACGTACGGAGCAATTGCTGGCGCGGCAAGCTAGCTGGGCTTGTCTCTGGGCTTTGAAGCTGCGCGCCTCTGAGCGCTTGGACGAGTCCCTGGCAGAGTCCGAACTGCTTATTTTGTGGCTACGGATAGTGCAGTTTTTGTTACACCAACGGGAATGTGGGAAAAGGCGTTAGGGCAGTCCATAAGTACACATGTACCCTCCTTCATGTACATGTGCGTAGGGACGAAATGCCGACTTTTCAGGACCCCGCCTCCCCGGGCCCATGCAGCGCACCTTCATTAAACTGACATCTACAATGCACTGTAGTACTGCTATTCGCACGTCGCTTCCAAATTCTGAAATAAATGACCAAAGTAATAACAGGTTTTTATATGGATATTTCTTTATTGAAAGGCCCTGGAAAGTGTGATTTGCTTGGCAGCTTAAAAAAAAGATGTTCACACATGGCTTGAACCCCCCTCTGCTCTGTACGCATGGCGTACTCAACGCCCCGCCCCTTTCGTACGTACGTACTTTGTAGACGGCCCCTTATCCAGCCTCCCTAACTTTACGGAAAATCCTGGATCCGCCCCTGATTTAACTTTTTATATCCGTTCTTATCAATGACAATTAAGCCACCGTGTCACAACTAAATATCTTGAGGGTTACTTCAAATGACTCGATTTGTTGCAGATTATTATAAATTTTTCCATTTCAGGAGATGACACACATCTGTTTGTATATTGTATCGAAATTGGAACTCAACTTTGTGACAGAGGAGAGAGGGGCCGTGCCAGCATATCTCACCTACACTGGGCATGTGTAAAATAATTGTGTAAATCATCGATACTCAATTCGTAGTTCACTATTTGTACAGCATGCAGGTGATTAACCCATGGAGGAATGATTACAACTCATTATCAAAAAGCTTGCCATCAGCCTTAAAGGGACACAGGGACCATAGCTCAGGTTTAAGTTATGTTCCTGTTGAAGAGTAAAGACCCCGATCAAATTTGATCCAGATGAAGTTATTGACATGAATGAGAATTGCATGTAAGTACCAAAGAAGTTACTATCAATTTTGAGTATTTCTGTTGTTCCCTCAGTGTTTCAATTTATTAACATCGATATAAGCCAGTCTGATTGACATGTTGAATGTATGCCTTTGAATACCGTGCATGATCCAGATGGTCCTTAGCAATCTTGAAGCTTGGGTACAACTGTTAGTTATAACCTAACTTGTGATATTTTGATCATTCGTCATGGGCCCATCATTGGTGTTAAAGTCGCACAAGTCCTACTGATTTCAGGTTTTACTTGAGGTATGAATTGAATGTATATCCTGGTATATCTGTGAAACAGTCTAGATCTGCAATTACATCGGATCTAAATCCAACTAAAGGTAGTCCTTACACTGATGGGCCCATTGACTCTTAGCTAGTTCGAGAAAAAAGGTAAATTTTGAGTAAATTGAAAAGTTAGATTTTATCCCTTTATACAGGTACCTTATTTAGGAATATTCATGTAACTTAGAAACGAGCTTTTAAAGCCATGACATCATGACAAATGTCTGCTACGTATGCATGCTGAATAAAATCGAAACCAGAAAATGATGAAGGTTTTTGAAAATTCGGTTTTAAATGTAATTGACCAGAAATTGGTGAATTTGTTGCGTAAAAGCTTTGACCAACACTGCTGCCCAATATTGGGTCAGATATCAACCGTCTAAATCACTGGATAATTTTGAACCAAGATTTCGTTCAATAATTAGCCCAACATTTGGTTAAGGATTATTACCCGTTTTTGAGCGAAAGTTTTTACCAACAAATTTTGTCAAATTTTTACCCAATAATTGAACAATCTTATTTGCCCAACTGCTGTTGGTTCAAGTTTTGCCCAACTTTTGGACCAGTTGATATCTGACCCAACGTTCGTCATAAATGTTGTATAAACTTTGACCAACTCGATTTGGGAGGCAACTACTTACAACTAAGAACTTACAAATTTCAAACTTAATGGAGGAAATCTTTGCCAGCAACACCTGCCATTAAAATTCACCATAAATACTGCATAAATTACCATCACGTATAACTTAATTTAAAAATGTGGGTATACGTTTACAGAATGGATAAATGGATAAAAGTAAACAATTTGAAAATATATTAATTAAAATGGATTTTAAAGTTATTATATAAAATCTTATTGCATGCAAGAGTTATAAGGATTAAGCAGAGTGACGTAAACGAAAATTCAATCCACAGTAGTGCGAGGTTTTCAACTGATTAGCGGTGATTGATGCAAAATGAATCATCAAAAATGAAAACTGATTTCCTTTTGCAAACAAACTGTTCTTAAAGTCCACAAACTCAACCGATTTGTCTCGTGAAATTAGAAGCATATAATTTAGTGTTGTCTTCTGGAGGGAAACTGTAATTATCGTCAATGATGTTAAGTATTATCCGAAGAGACGAGCAGAAGCCTTCAAGCCAAGGACAAAAAGGCCCTTAAACTAATCGGCATATAGGTAGCCAGAATCCAAATACCAGGTCTTCCATGATTTGTGCAACCTCAAAAAATGCCAGACCCTATACCTCTTTCCGTTGATATCTTGACACGTTCTCTCAAAAGTCGTCTGAGAATCTTACCGCCCACCAACTCAGGTATTTTGTCCAGAAACGCAATCCTTCCGCTTAGTCACTTTAAACTGAGTTGAATTTAAACTAAGTTGACAGTTATAAAGAAGGATGTTAAAATGTCATTAAAGACCCAGTTTGGTGCTAATGAATTGTATGGAAAAATAAACACTAAAGAGCACAAACTCTGTATTGAAGTGAGTCGAACGTAGCTTTTGACTTAAATTAAAAGTACATAAATGGTCTCACAAAGGAACAATTTATGGGTAGCCTCTCTTCTGAAAACTGACACCATAACAATTTGTAGTGATAAAATAATTTTTGGAAAGAGGGTTTAATTCATAAGAAATTCATTACAAATCTGATAGAACATAAATAATTCAAATTGAATTTCTTCTCATTAGAAAAGGAGTTGGTGACAAAAACTTAATCCTCAAGCACTTTCCATACGTTTCAACTTTCCACTTTTTTTTCTTGACAAAACTGGCAATGCCATGCAGAAAAACGGAAAAATAATTTCAGTGCAAAGTCCATCTGCACCGAAAGCCCTTACAAATCACTTCACTGAATTGCTGAGTAAATACGAGCCTTTCCTGTCAATTCATAACTTGGCAGTGTTACCAGTCAGAGGGTGTTCACCTTGTCAATCAGAGTGAGGATTGAAGTCATTTCTTTAATTCTCTTCGGAGGATCTTGCCACTAGCAGACTTGGGGATCTGATCCAGGAAAACAACACCCCCACGAAGCCACTTATGTGGGGAAGCATTCTCTGAAACCACATGATCCAGGACAGAATAAGATTGGAAATTAATTTCAAAGTCCCACGTGTTTTGTCCATAACCATGTCCTTGAACATACAAACGGTACTCACTGACAGGCAAAGCCTAAAGCATAACCATCATATGCATGTGTACACTGGTATCTTCGCAGGCAACGGACTACAAGCTATGCGCATTCAGTTGAAACTAATGACAGTCTCTTGCCAGATCCACTTTATGTTGCACGTCCCGTCTAGTATGCCAAATTGGAGCCCTCATCTACAGATCATTCCCTAACGTGTGAAGAGTGTAAAATGTATTCAGGTAGGGGGCCAGTGGGGCCCCAGCACCAAACTGGTTTTATTTTTAATCAAGAGAGCAAGGTTTTTTGTCTGTTTTATTTTCCTTCCTTCCAAAGGTCTATAATGTTGCCTCACCCCTAGCAAGGCTGTAATAGGTTACTGTACATGGAAACATTTCCAAATTTTTGTGATCCCAAAAAACAAGTTTGGCCCCCTCCCCGAAAATTGGGTTTTTGATCTGCACTTTCCTGGGTAGGGTCGGGAATAGCACCAATTGGTTTTTAGTCTACCAAGAGACAGAATTTAGTTTGAGCGATCACTTTATGGTGTAGATTCCTGAGGGAATATGCCACATCAGCCCCTGTGGGTCTACCGGAAATCATCCAATTATCAATTTTTGTTGTCATCGAGGTCTCACCTGCCACAAAGTCTCGGACCATCTCGAGGGTCAGGCTCTCTGTCTTGCGGACCACAAACGCCCGGGGCAGCTCGCCAGCTGCTTGGTCAGGCACCCCTATCACCCCAGCATCCAGAATCTGAGGATGTGTAAGGAGTAAGGCCTCCAACTCTGCTGGGGGAACCTGGTGGGGGAAATTTTCAAACAACCTACTGTTCACCTGTTCACAATTCACCTGTTAACCTACTATACCTATTGCCTATTAAACAAACTTAAGTCAGAACCTAACTCAGACATAGAAGTTACTCTTACTTGGAATGCCTTGTATTTGATGAGTTCTTTGAGTCGATCTGCAATCCACAAAAAGCCATCTTCGTCGATATGACCAATATCACCTGCAGAGTGAAAGATCGGTAAAAGTCATAACTCTGAACACTGCATTTCAAATGTACACACATTAAATTTCAAGAGCCGCCAAAAATTTGGAATGCCTTGAGAACTCAATCGGGATAAACTCAGAAACTCAGGTCTGCTCTGAGAGATTTCTAATGGAAGCAAGCATCATGATCTCTTCTTAACACATCCACATTACGTTGGGAACAAGTCTCGGTTTCAGTCTCGAAGTCTTGGTCTTAAAGGAGTGGATCTCAGTCTTGGTCTGGAATGCCTTGGTCTTGTCTCGGACATCAAGGTCTCGAATATAACACAGTAACTCCTCCACATTACATTGGGAACAATTCAACTTACACAGCAGGATCTCTTCCTATATACCCCCCAGGTACATGCAATTATGTACAAAATAAACAGTTTTTGAAAAACAAAATGTCTCCACCTGTGTGCAAGAAGCCATCTTTGTCGATGCTCTGTGCAGTGGCTTCTGGGTTCTTGAGGTATCCTTTCATGGTCTGTGGTCCTCTCAACCAAATCTCCCCGTCTTGACCTGAGCCAAGAGGTTTCCCCGAAGTGACATCAATGACCTAGACAAACAAGAAACGAACAACAAAACATTAACAGAAACTTTTACTGAATCTACATCGAACAGGTCTCCCGCTGATGTTCGAAAACAAACGTCGGGTGACGTAGTTCGTTGGATTTAGTCTTCATTTTTCTCGTCTGGGAAGAATCTTGTAAAAAAAACATCAAAGACAGCTGGGTAGACACCAAACACAACCATATGTTGCCAAGACTCAGTGAGACATTCGGGTTAAAAAATGATGAAAACCACAGAGCCTTGTGTCTGATGAGTATTAAAAAGGAGAAAATATAAAGCGTGATAGGGAAAAAATTTGCATGTTATAATCGCTAACAAATTCAACTATGAAAAAGTGTCTGTCTATGTGCTTGCACTGTGGGAAACGACAAGATGCTCATGGAGCATGAAACTCCGCTCATACCAGCTCTATGTTTTCCTATAGTAAAAGCTGCGGTGGCAGAAACTAGACTAGCAGAAAGGCTTCATGTACCCAGGGCATAGTAAACATTCTGTTATGTTACCGTCTACAGAATACAGAGTGAAACTACTGTGTCGCTTTGTGTTCAAGGTTGAGCAACGTAATCTTTGCTCATCACCCAGCACCCGGAAAACGCTATTGATAAAACGTGAAGCACTCAAATCTTTTCTCGAGTACAAGGGTCGAGTACCAAGTACTAAGAGTCAAGTACGTCCAAAATCCAGGTACAAAGAATCAAGTACTCGTCAAGTACAGTTAATTTTCGAGCACTGATAATCGAGTATAGGCCATACTCAAGTTGTACTCAAGTACGAGTGACGAGTATTCCAACACTGCAATAAGCTATTTCATTGTACTTCTGCAGGTGGTCATCATAACAAATTTGTTTCAATACTGTACCTTCATCTCAGTGTTTGGTAGAAGTAACCCCACCGGGCCATAGTTGATGACATCATGGGGCATTATGGTGCTGGCAGCAGTCGCCTCTGTTAGGCCATATCCTTGGAGCAAAGAAACAACTCGTTTATTAAAGGCTAAAAAGGGTCACTCTCCGTTTCACAGAAATCTCCTTGAAAAAGTCTCCTCTAACAGGTTCAGTCACGACAAAAGGGTCAAAACTGGTAGCAAATATATGAGAAAATGAGAGCAATTCTCAAACAATACATTGGACAGACGATGATCCAAGCACCTACAACTCCCAACAGAGGCTCACTATGCTACTGCACAACATCATTCTAACAGATAGAGTACGGTAATTGGCATGGAATCGGTTTTAATTCCAAACTAACCTAGGGTAGCAGATGGAAACTTTTTTTTGGGGGGGGGGAGAATTTGTAACCTCTTTTCGGGGAAGGGGCTAAATCAAGACACACCTCACTGTAAATGAAGCATCTGAACTAACCTTGCATGAGGAATTTCAAGTTAAGCCTGTTAGCAATCGTCTCCATCATGTCTTGGTTGAGTGAAGCAGCCCCTGCCATTATAAACCGGACTGATGACAGGTCGTACTTGTCCACCAAGGGCGACTTGGCCAGGAACAACATGAGAGGAGGCACCAGCGAAAGCAAAGTGACCTACAGGGAACACAGCCGGTCACATCTCAAAATCTCAGAGAGCATTTGCCTCAGACAAAACTGGTCCAAC